CATTAAAACAAATCCTCTGTTGACTATTCATGGCTTATTAATAATTCTGGATTGTATGACTCCTTCACTTATTAATATCGTGGGGCAATCAATATTACTTTTTTATAACTCAAAACTCTATTGATGTATATGTATCTGTATCTGTACTCATACCCCATCTTACATTTTCATCAGAGCTAGTCATTTGTTTTCAGCACTGTTAAGCCTAGGTTTTCCAGAGAGTATAACTGCTGAAGTTAGGCAACTATGGCTGGGTCAATAAGGTCATTACTCTTCTTGCTTTACACCGATTTCCTCTGTTATGAGGGCTATGGTGCTGGTAGCCTCAGGGACGGATCCATAAATTTTTTTTATTGGGGGCAAATCATTAAAACAAAAAAGATAATTTGAAAAAAAAAAAATGAAACACTTCAGATTTTTTTAGTGAGGTCAAACATGTGTTTTACCAACTAGTCTAACTCACTCCTTCTTGAACGGATTTCTTGGCTCCAAATTTGACTAGAAATGCCTTCTAAACACTTCAGTTCCTTACATGTTGTAACTGGATATGCCTATAGACAAAACAACACAATTAAACCTTAATTCACACAAGTTTTGAAACATTTCATGCACAAAATAGGCTAAGTAAAGGGATAAAAGTATAGACAATAAAACACTTATCATCGGTTACAGCCACAAGGTAAGTTTTACCACGAACGCATCCTTGGATCGCCGTTATGGACTTCCCCGTAAATGAAAGATAATTAAAAATTTGCAAATTATTGCGTCATTGCTTGCATAATTATCTTACCCAGAAACAACCTTGGAATTGCATGCAATATAGATACATGAGTTACGAATTCTGCAAATGCTCTTTCTAATTTTTTGTGTTTTTGAAAGGATAAATAAAAATAGAGGAGCAGATCTCCTAATCCCTACCTGCCCAATAAATCATTCATTCGCGTGCTTCAATATAATCTCAAGCTAATATAAAAATATGACTGACCAAATCAAGCCTCCCGGTGACTCGTTATTAATGCTTGTACTATTTCCATGGATAAGCTTTTGCATAAGGGATCATCAAGCACTATAACACACCCATTCTGCACTGGTAACATAGTTAACTTATCAGCCAATTTTGACTTATTTGATCACTATTAAACATTCAATATAAGTGTATGAATAATTAGCTTTTTGTAACAACTTATTGTTTCAAAAAGCTGCTCAAATTAGCTTTTTCGATAAACGGTCTGAGAAAAGTCATTTTGCATGTAATTCACTATCAGCTAACAGCTAATTTATTAAACATCTTACTACAATCATCTAATGCTATCAACTAGTCAAACCCACTGACCCAATCAGCTAACAACTAAGAGCTATTTACGAAACACCCCAAAGTCTTTTGGAATTTTAGAATGATGAGTAACTGATGCACTGTGGATATGTTTAGTCATATTCCTGTTAACAATGTAATGTTACAGAATTGGATTGAGCTTATAATAGGTAGCAGGTTTAATGAAGAGCCATGATCAATTTGGACTGCATTAAAACAAATGGTTTGTTGACTATTCATGGCAAATCAAAACAAATTTGGACTGCATAAAAAAATTGGATTGTTAATTTGATGGGGCAATCAATATTACTTTTTCATATCAACTCCAAATCTCTATTGAACTCTATATATACTCACACCCCATCTCACACTTCCATCACAGCTAAGCCATTAGTTTTCAGCACTGTTAAGCCTCAGTTTTCCAGAGAGTATAACAGCTGAAGTTAGGCAACAATGGCTAGGTCAATCAGCTGTTTCTTCATGCTCATTAGTCTTCTTACTTTTGCACCACTTTCCCTCGGTTATGAGGTCTATGGTGGCGGTGGCGGTAGCCTGTATCCACAGTATTACGAGAAGTCATGCCCGAGGGCGCTAGAGATCGTCAGGTCTGAGGTTGCGAAAGCCGTGGCTAAAGAAGCACGAATGGCTGCTTCTTTGCTCAGGCTCTCCTTTCATGACTGTTTTGTCCAGGTACTTGTTAAAAACTTTATTCTGCAACGTCTCGAGGGGCCTTACTTTATGTTACGAGTTCAAATCTTGTCGAAAACATTGTGCATGGACTAATTATAACATGCATGTGTGGTGTATTAGGGGTGTGATGCATCTCTGCTTCTAGACAGCGGTAATGGCATAACCAGCGAGAAGAATTCTAACCCCAACAGAAACTCTGTTCGCGGGTTTAATGTGATTGATGATATCAAAGCTGCTTTGGAGAAGGAGTGCCCTCAAACTGTTTCTTGCGCTGATATTCTGCAGCTTGCTGCCAGGGATTCTACACATCTGGTAAAAACCACCATCTCTGTTTCTACCAGATTATATATAGTTTGCTCTGATACCAAATTGAATAATATGTTGTTACTATAAACAGAGTGGCGGACCATTCTGGGAAGTTCCATTAGGAAGGAAAGACTCCAGAAGTGCCAGCCTGAGTGGCTCCAACAACAACATCCCTGCACCAAACACCACATTCCAAACCATTCTTACCACTTTCAAGCGCCAGGGCCTTGATCTTGTTGATCTTGTGGCATTATCTGGTAAATATATATATATAATAATTGATAGATACCTCTGAGTATTGGTAAAATGACTAAGAATATAACCCTGTGGGTGGCATGCAGGGAGTCACACAATTGGGAACTCAAGATGTGTCAGTTTCAGACAAAGGCTTTACAACCAAGCTGGAGACAACAAACCAGACTCTACCTTGGATCAATACTATGCTGATCAGCTGCGTAGCAGGTGCCCGAGATCCGGGGGCGATGCCAACCTGTTTTTCTTGGATTTTGTGAGCCCGACAAAGTTCGATAACAGCTACTTCAAGCTCTTGTTGGCAAGCAAGGGACTTCTCAACTCAGACCAAGTTCTGACCACCAAGAATGAAGAATCATTGCAGCTGGTGAAAGCATATGCAGAGAACAATGAGCTTTTCCTTCAGCATTTCGCCTCGTCCATGATTAAGATGGCCAACATTTCACCTCTCACTGGTTCCCATGGAGAAATCAGGAAGGATTGCAGGAAAATCAACTCTTAATACAAATAATATAAACCCCCCAGAGAGGCAACAGAAAGAATAATATTTTGTGTCTTGATTGTCATGTATTATATTGTCTTCTTTTTCCAAATTTCCAGCTTTTGAGTGTCTGTATTTCCTTTTCTTTTTTTCTTTTTTTTTTTTGATCGTTTTGTTTGTTAGTTGAAAGTTAAGTACCCTGTTGTTTACTACTAAAGTAATGATAAGTGATAATTTGGCTGGTGTTGCAATAAAAAGATTGTTTTGCCCTTCATTTTCACGGTCAAGACGGAATATCTTAACGGAAGATGGTCAATTTCAAAACTTACAAGATTACCGAGGATCGATTTGAAAGTTTAAAACTAAAGATGGCGAAATGATATGTTTCAGTAGTTTGACTACACGTCACGGGTCTATAGCTAATAGAAGAAGAAGATGGTTTACCTATGGGGGCTGATGATAGTAAAAGAGAGGAGAAGTTGGAGGAAGAAACTTCATTTTGATTTTATTCAATTTCCAACTTACTAAGACAATATAATATCCTCTCTATATATAGGAGCTAAAAGCTTTAGACATAAGGAAACAATATATATTCTAAAATATGGTTACTTAAAGTAAAAAGGCAACTACTAATAAACTAGGGAATAAGATAACTAAATTGATTTTAGCAATTAGCAGCCCAGGATCTGTATTGTATCACGGAACCATCAAACTCGGAGGACCTTGGTTGGCATTTACTCAACAATAATATAAATGGTGGTAGTGATGGTAGTGGTGGTGGTGATTGTAAAGGTGGTAGTCGTGGTAGTGGTGATGGTGATTATATAGTGGTGGTGTTGATGTTGGTGATGGTGGTGGTAGTGTGGTAGTGGTATTGGTAGTGGTAGTGATGATCGTGGCGGTGGTAGTGTGGTAGTGGTATTGGTAGTGGTAGTGATGATCGTGGCGGTGGTAGTGTGGTAGTGGTGGTGGTGGCGGTGACATTGGGGATGGCGGCAGTGGCGATGGTGGTGGTGTAAAAATTGAAAAATTACTTCCCTTTTGGGAAGTCATTTTCCAAGAAAATGATGATATTTTCCTTTGATCAAACACACATTTTTCTTTCACTCATATTGTTCACTCTTTACCAAACATTGAAAACCAGTTTTCCCAGTTTTCAAACGCACATTAAGATTAAGCTGTTATCTCAACATACCAATTTATTTAATTAATATACATTAAGTAACTTCAGCAGATATGATTAGCGTGTTAGCAGGATAAGAAACATTAATAATGTAATTGGCGTACCAGCCTGGCGCCAAATAGACAATTGTAACTAGTTGACTTGGGGTACCCCTTCCGGTACATCCAAAAATAATGTAAAAACATTTGACTCATTCTGCAATCACTTTAAAAAAAAAATCAGTCACTATTTGAAGATGTCTATTAGGTAAACTCGTCTTGTGACTTTAATAGTCAAAGGATCACAATAAGGTAAATTAACTTAACTGTTCAGATCAAACCAAGAATGCGAATAGACTGATAATCACTAACAATTAAATTTGAAATCTTACAATTATCAAGTCAATAATCTAATCAACTTGTCTGGAGTTCTCCCATCCGCAATCACCTTTTGTCGACGGAGCGTTATTAATGCTTGTACTGTTATTGTCTGAAGCAGTACGAGGTTTACATTTATAATATAATAATGTTCTGGTGTTTGTGAGAAAACGTTGAAATTCTTGCCAAACTTGTACTAACAAGACTCACGATCAACCATTTCTACTGCATTAAAACAAATCCTATGTTGACTATTCTATTCATGGCTAATTAAAAATTTGTTAAAATGGTAATTTATGTCTCCCTATAATAGGTTAATTATCAATGTAATAGAACCAGTAACTTTCAAAAAAAAAGGTTAATTATCAATGTTACTTCTTTTGTCATTTTTCCAACTTGAGTGTCTGTATTTTCGTTTTGTTTTTGAATAAAATAAAACTGATATGCTTTGAATTGCATTCAACTGCCACAGTTACATATATGACATAACATACATAAACTCAGAGGCTTCCCCCATTAATTAGTATTACCACACATTAAAAAACATTCTTAGTCTAGTAATTATATGGATTTAGGATTCAGAAAAACACGAGTCTCTGCTAATCCTACTATTCCCCTCCTGGATGAACCCCATTCCAACATTCATCTCTAAGAGAGAAAATTCACTCCCACAAATTCTCTCACCAGTAAACACACTATATTAATCTAGTAATTATCTTATTCTCGGGAATAGTATTTCCGAGAATAAATTAGTAATAACTTATACCGAAATACTGTATCATTCTGTGAACCAAACGTGTTGTATCTATCAGTTCCCAATTTGCTTCCCCCTATTAGCTTTGGCTCTTCTCAGCCTACCAAGGTTTTTCATCCTGGCAAATATTCTCCTGATCTGGGAAAGCTTGTGGCACTGCTGAGAAATCAAATTTGCAGTGGAAGTCCTCTGGCTTAGCAATATCTCATACCCATCCCGGAAGTTGTCCATTCCGTCGGTTAACAGTTGCCAGAAAAGGCCTCCGGCGGCTGCGCCGCCGCGCTTTGCCGACGAGTATATGGTGTAGTATACAGTTCTGTAGAGAGCGTCCCTCTGGGTTGGGTTAAAGCCTGGGTCTTTCCAGGATTTCCCAAACTCTGCAATTAGCAATGGCTTCTTGAGAATGTACTGAGAGTCTTCGATGTGGGCATTCAGCCAGTTTCTCAGGAAAGCTAGCTGGCTTTGGTCATCTGAGCTGGACATCCTAGTAATCAAATCAAGAAACAAATTAGTCTATTACATGTACTCCCAAATGTTATGAATACTGATCTTAACCAGTAAAGGATAAGTAAACTAGTTTAAGTTGCTGGTTAATCAGACTTAAACTAAGAAGGCTAATAGACAGTTTCTAGAAAAAGTTGAATTTGAAACCTTGTGATTATCAAGCAACTGTTCGACTAACTTAGCTGGGATTGTCTTACCATTGATCGGGATAGGAGTGGGTGGTGGCGAAATCGATGGTGGGGATTTGATTGTTTGCAATGAAGTCTGTTCCTATGTTGAATGCATTGAGATGAGTTCTCTGGGGTGATGTTCCACCATAGAACCCTTCCAACCCAGCTTCCAGCAGATGGTTGTTGTCTATTGACTTCACATAGTAGGCCATCTCCATTATCCAGGACTGCCATTTATTGAAGAAAACTGAATTATTAAGACCTGAACTTTTATCCTAGCCGAATTTAAATTAGTCTCACAGTGTTAAGGATATCGAGACTGCAGAAGAACCTGAATGGTTTTTCCTGATGGATCAGAGGTGCATCTGGGCTCATTCATCAACTCCCAAGCCATGATTGTTGGGTCATTTTTGTAGACCACTCCAGTAAATGTGTTGCGCCTGTTGAGCACAGTCTGCAGATTGAAAAAAAGTGTCAAAAAGTTAGAACAATCCCAGTCAAATTGGTTAAACCGTTGACTGATAACCACAAAGTTACAAGTTCAACTCTTAATGGGAACAGCTTATTGACAAGAGTAACCTAAGTTGATTTACATTCTTGTGATCCTTTGTCAACTAGTATCACAAGGCGAAATTTACCCAGTGCACATCATCGGATTGTAAATAAAGACAAACAAATCAACCTTAAAAAAGCATTGTTATCTAGCTTTTACCTTAACATGGTTCTTGTAAAACCCCTTAACAAGAGAATTCCTAAAGAAATCATCATCAGATGTCAGATATTGTCCCTTTCCTCTAGCCCAATCCACATACTGTTTCTTTCCTCCAAAGCTCTCATAATTATTTGCTAAGCTCAAAATCACCTTCAACCCATACTTTCTTGCCTCAGCTATCACAAAATCCAGCCCCTTCAAATTAATCCAAAAAAAAAAAAAAAAAAAAAAAGTCACAAACAAGAAAGAAACGAATCGAAAACAATAGCAGAAAGTAAAGAAGACTCAATTCCGTCCAACACCTATCATCTTCCAGTACATAATTGAAGAACATATACCTTAAACACATCTTCATTATAAGAGCCAGGAGCATACTGAAGAGCCCTGTAGCCACCATCACTGAAAGCCCAAGTTCTTGCAACAGTGAGGCCATGGCTAGAAGCACCTCTGAAGGCTTCAGAGACTTTGTACCTCTGAGAAGGGTCAGATGCCACATACATCAACCAGTAGGCATTGAATCCATTTGCATAGAAAGTGTAGCCATTGATCATGAAATGGATCCCTCTTGTCTTTATGAACCCATTCCCAGCCGCTTTAACCGAACCAGACAAGCTGCTCTGCTGAACAAAAAGGATTGCAAGCAGTGCTGCTAGTAATCCTAAGTGCTTCATCCTTTGTTGAGCCTAAACCACAAGAAATGTTTTGTTTCTCTTTCTCTGAGTCAATCTGAGTGAAAGAAAAAGGTAGGAGGTAGTGTATATAAAGGCTTAGGCAAGAGGATGTGGGGCTGCTACACTTTTATCCTTGAGAACAAAACAAGAAAGTCTGGTAACTCCAGCCAAGTTGATTATTCTGTTAGGTTAGTAATCACAAGTTTATAAGTTCAATTCTTAAGAAAGCGGGCGTATTGATCTTTTTTATTTGAGTTAATCAACACAACCTAAATTGGTTTACATTCTCTCTTAAGATCACAAAGCTGAGTTTACTCAATACACACCCTCGAGTAGTGACTGCCGATTTCTCTCATCATCAAAAGAATTTATAAGAACACCTAACATAACTACAAACTTAGGAAATAACCGCAAACTACCATCACTAACATCGATCTACGGGTTCTCCAAAGTACATCCTACAACGACCACCAACAAAGCAGAATCACTGACAATAGAGTTGTTGAAACAGGCTAGCGGAGGCCAGGCCCGTTCACCCTGCCAAAGCCTACCATTTTGGTGGTAGTGGATTAAAAAATCCATCAAAATACGAGTCATTAAATTCAAAGTCAGCCCCACCTTTTTAGCAGGGTAGGACAGGCTAAGCCCGTTTTGACACTCTACTAATAAACATTATTGCATCCTACGACCACCAACAAAGCGAGTCACTAAACAATTTACACGTTCTTCAAAATACTTAAACATTGCACCTTATAACAGCGAGCAAAGCAGAACTATTAACTTTTTTTTTTTAATGTAAATATGAAGCAAAATAGGGAGTGCCGACAGTTTTTAAGGAAGATTAAAAAGGTGAGTAAATGTGGAAGGTTGTGATGGTGCAATGCGTGCTGCTTTTTCATCAATGCTTGATTTGTGTGTACACGAAGGTACAACCACCGGTTCCACTCTACACATGGAATAGATTCAGCTAAGTCGGCGTGGGCTCTCGAAAAGTACTGGGATTTTGGTTAAGGTTTCCAACACCGACATTATGGTTTGCTTCAAACTTTTTTCATGAGAAAGTTAAAGTAGGTAAGTAATAAATTAAGGTCGCCCCCCTCACGCCACACAAGTGAAAATTAAACCCCCTCATCTTCTGCTCCATACAGTATAAATTTTCGTGTGAATTATAATTATATATTATGGGGACCATGTGAACTCCCCTAATAGATTAGATAGAAGTTTGAGTCCCAAAAACACTATAGTATATTATACGACATGGTATAAATGTTTTGTTGTGCATGAAGTTATTACATTGGGCTAACTTCATTGAATGACAATTCAATATAGTTTTTTAAAATTGATATTTATTCTTATGTATGAAAAAATAAGAAACTTTGTCATAGTGCATTGATCTTATCGATGAAAAATCACACTTAAATTAAGGCTTGCTTCATATAACAGGGCGAGGGTTTGATTTCTGTCACGAACATGAAGGGTTTGGGGTTGAACTTTTTATGCGTAAAAGTGTATAATTTGATGTTAAGTTTTGAAATTAAATTGGTTTGATTTTACCTACTCATGTGCTTGGAGAGGTTTATGATATAGTCCAATGAAATTGAATCATCTGATTTATCAAATAATAATAATAGTTAGAGACTTTTTTAGTCTTGAAGCTTCTTCTTCTTCATAAATTTAGAGGGCAGAAGCCACCTGGGCTCATATGGTGTCCCTTTCCAACATCACAGATTCAGAATCTGAGGCGTGAATATGTATGTGTGGCCTAAAAGATAGGGACGTGGGGACTGAATTAAACATGGCCATGTGATGGAGGATGGGAAGAGGATATAGTTATGGCCCCTTAACCTTTTTTGCTGTGCAATTGCATGTGACCACAACGGAGATCGATGATGATAAGTACACTCCTAAAACTCTAGACGTGAATTGAATGAAAATCACAACAATAATAATTGTATATAGTTTTTATTTGGGGAATGATTAGTGAGAAATGATGGCTAAACAGAACTTAGGAATTTATTATAAATTTAGTTTGGTAATATTTGTAAAATAAGTTAGTAGCTCAAAAAAATAAGATTTTATTTTAAAAAACGTTTTAAAAATAAGTTTGGAGCTTTCTAATTTTTTTTTTTCATTTTTATCATTATTATTATTATATAAATAAATGACATCTTGTATTCTTCTCAATTAAAATTCTTTGATATTTTCTCCTATACTTTTATTCATTCTCTGACGCAACTCTTCACCACCAAATAACTCCTTAAAGTTCTAACTCCAATCGCATGTTCATAAATAAATGACATCCTTTACCCTTAACAATTAAAAATATTTTTTCTTTTGTTTTAATTTAATATATATCTCATATATATTATAAAAACAATTTTTTATATAAATTGAATATATCTCATATAATAATATAATAAACCTATCATTTAAATTTTATGAAAATATTATTTTTAGTCATTTTACATTTATCAGCTTATCAAAAAACTAATTTTACCAAACACTTTTATGCATAATCAGTTATTTAACAGCTCTTCAATTTTCAGCTTCTAGCTTATATCTTTTCAGTTTTTAATTACCTTTTTTAACTAGGTTTGCCCAGGATAGTCGATATTGTAGATGGGGAAGTATTTTCTTCCAAACGTCGCATGGTCCCTTCCAAACCATTAACGTATAAATACAAGGATAACGTGCCATGTTCCCATTAAATTTCTTGTAGCCCCTATTAATAAGGACGGGGACGTATTAAATGTAAAGGCACATCATTTCGAAAATGTCATTTCCTCTCTTCATCGTGGCATATATTTTGGACTATGGATTAACATTAATCCATAATTCCATAAATAGATAACATTAATATAGATGGCATCGGGATGAATAAAACCGCCATTGGGGTATGATATTTAAACTTTAACAAATTCTTAAATAAGCGAATACTTGCTCGCTGCCCTTCAAAAATATTAGGAGCAATTTTAGAAGAAAAAAAAAAGTAATGAATTTCATGGTTTAGACATGGCATGTGGCGAGGTATGTCCAAGCACCTTAAACAACCGTCCTGAAAGAATCCAACAAACGCATCCGTGTGGGACTCACTTCCGCAGCTGAGCCGACGAACTACCAAATCTGATTCGCATGTCCTACCTCTGATTAGCATATATTGGAAGAAGATATCTCCTCCACCTTGTTTGTGTGAGCAAAGATTTCATCCTCACCACATCCATCCTCCTCATTATAATTTTTTTTAGATAAAAACCCAAAAATAAAAACATTCAAAGATAATAGTCTCAACTCTTAAAGTTTGAGAATTAATCAATAACTCAACTAAGGACAATACAAAGGTAACCGACCAAGCTCAGAGCAACTCCCCCAATTACCAAGAGCTTATTCATCACAATTATTCAATTCAATACCAATTCGTTACTTGTATCGTTCAACCCACAATTAATGTTAGGATTGTAGCATTCACATTAGCACCAACAAAGAACATATCAACCATTTTCTTTTGGCAAGTTAATATATGAACCATGCCATGTGGCTATACAAGTCCAACTTTGAATCCTAAATTTTTATTGCTTAGGAGCTATACATCCTGTAAAAGATATGTGAGAAAGGAAAAGGATTAAGTATTCACAAAGCAGTAGATTTGACCTCCTGTATTATTTTACTTTTATTTTTTACTATGTGAGTTCAATGCTGTAACCTATTACTGAGTTGAGGCTAATTGCTCTGTTTAACAGAGCCACTATCAGAAGTCTCAGATTGACCTGAGTAGGATGATCCTCTCCCTGCTGAAATATAAGACCATGCCAGGACAGCTGACCCAATTGTTAGGGAAGCAGCAACTGAACCCCATATCCACCTTACCATTCTCTTCCTTCTTTGCCTAAGACGCCGTGCTGTGTCTGCATAGATGGATGTAAAAACGAAATGAAGAAGCTTCTTGTAGAGATGTAAACACAAAAATGAGGAAACTTCACTTGAAGTTAATGTTTAAAACCACTGCTCTTGTACTAAATGGAATGCATCAACCTAGACAACCTTATTCCCAAAGCAATTATACTGCTACTCCAAAAACAGCAGATAAGGACATTCTTTGGATACTAGTAAAAAAATAAAGAAATATGGCACAAAAACTTACCTACAGCTTCCTGATTCCTCTGGGACATCTCCCGATTCACTGCTTCATAATAGTGCAATTTGTCCCACAATCGAGCGATCTCAAAGTTCTTAAGCTCAATTTGACCCTCCATCTCTTCTTCAGCCTCAGCTTTTGCCATTCCCCTCCCAATGGAATTTGACACAAACCGAACAACATATAGTTGTTCGATCATATTTTTTACAGCATCATCAAGGTGTCGATCCTCTTCTACAGTGACAGGAGCAGCAGGGAGAGTCAATCCTATAGGAAGTAGTTGTTCACGAATCCTCTGCCACTGCATTCGCATGAGATTAAGAGCTTCCTCTGCCTGTTTTTGCTTTTCTATCTCCTCCAATAAGCTCAGTTTTATTTCACTTAACTCAGCCTCAAAATCACGAGTAACTGGTTGCAGTTCATTGTCAGAGGTAATTTCTGAAGAGAAGGATGAAAATAAGGCAATTGAGTATTGATTATACAGTTGTATGAAAAGAAATAATGATGAACTGAAGTCGATAACTAAGGTGTCTCAGAGTGAATTCAACATTTCTTCCTGTTCATTATCAATTTATAAAGTCACTTAAAAATGCAGACAGCATATATTAAACATGTTTAGAAGTGGACACCTTAAACTTTCAGTCCAAAAAAGATTCTACATTATCAGTAACGGAAAAAAAGGAATTGAAGTACCTTCACAGGCATCATAGAACTCTGCAATATGTATGCTAGAACTAAAAGAATGTTGTAGTCCACCATTATTCTTAGAGTCAGCATTACTTTTGATGCTCATTGAATCTTGGGGATCAAAGAAATTGCCATCCTCAGTATTTCGCTGTAAATCAAAAGCCATAGAAGTCCGTATACCGTTTTCTGCAGCTGAGCTACAATCCAAATTGAGAACACTGTTCTCTTCAGCACTTGCGTCACTCATAGGATCCTCTTTACCAGGCTTATCAGCAGTGACTGAGAGATTATAATCCTTCACAGAATTGTCTTCTTTAGGAATCAAACCATCATCCTCATGTGCAGTTACAGCATGCTTTTCTGCATCTATGGCAGTCTCAACTTCTTTTCCATCGGTAGCACATTGGTGAATGGCAACATCATCATGGGACATACATTTCAGAAGCCGTGGGCCACGACGCTTGTGATTAATGATGTAAGGTGATGGAGGGTATGAAGAATGAGAATCTGGAAGTGGAGTTGACTGTGGAGTAGCATAGAGTGCAGGAGATATGCCAGTCCGGTGGTGCTGTCTATCTATTGGTATTGCTGGGTTACTGTTCCTCCGGTCAAGCCTTATAGTGGGAGCACTACTTTCGCTATCCAGCTTAGAACTAGAAGCACTTCGTCTCCAATCATTGTACCTTGAATTTGGAGCACTGCTTCTCTTATCTATCCTTGGGTCAGGAACATTTCGAGCTGTCACCATGGACTTCGAATGCCCAGGTTCTAACAGGCTATCCAAAGCTATTGCTGTAAACGTCGACATGGATTTACCACATCACACAATCTGCTCAAGCAGAAAGAACGAATTATGCTCCTAAAGTCCTAATTACTGTAAATGAAAACAAACAGCATATTGCAAAGTAAATGAACGAGTTCCATTTAAATTTGATAACCTTATATCCTTAATTTCCATAAAAGACATTTTATGCTACATTGCTACCAACATGTGTTCTAGATGTACCGAGTCTCAATCAGATTTAAGAACACTCTCAAATCAAATTATCAGTTTAAAAACACGATGATCAAATCAGCTCAGTAACTTGAATCAAAACCTCAAAAATATAAAAACCGATGATTAAACAATGCCGTGAATCCTATTCGCTTCAGCACTGACAAATTAATTCCAATTCAACAACCAATTAAAAGAATATCCTCCAAGTTAAAAATTCTAATCTCAAATAGAAAACACAAACAGACAGATAAGTTCATACATAACAGAACAAAGCGCGCGCGAGAGATGAAAAGTAATCTGACCTGATAATGAAGACGAAGAGGCGGAAGAAAACATTAAGAGGAGAGATGGGAGACGAATCGAGATTTACACATATACATCGTCGAAGATATTCAGCACGGAGAAGGTTGCGTAACATCCATCATAGCTTCTGTTTCTGTCTCTCCCCTTCTCTCTCTATCTACGCCTCTGGCCCTAACTTTCTGGAGAAGACGACGACGAAGACGGTGGCGTGCGCTGTTGCTTTTCCTCCCCAGAATTTCTCCGGTTCTCGTCGATGCAATCACCTCGCACAATTTTCTGTTCGTATTTATTAATTCGATGATTCGATCTTCGTGTCTCCATATTCTTCCCTCTCTCCTGCTGTATGTATCTCGTGTCGGTTTTCTTTCCACGTCTTTTGGAGAACCGGCCCATTTACTGGAACCTTCTCGTGGGCACATTTGACTGAGGACCATAGTCCAGTAGCAACATGGATCATGCAGTAATATCATTTTAATTACACTTCAGTTTCATTTGACAAATTATTATGTTTTCTTAGTTTTCATTTTCCTTCCACACTAGTTTTATTATAGTAATATTAAAGTATCATTTTAATTTTACTATAGTTTCATTTGATGATATACATTATTGCTTGAGCTCTATTTTTCTTTATTTCATTTTCCACACACTAGTTTAATTATAGTAATATTGAAGTATTATTTTAATTGTACTTCAAGTTATTTGATAATATATGTTATTATATGACTTTAAATTTTAGTTTCATTTTCCACGTACGCTAATTTCATTATAGCAATACTAAAGTATCATTTAAAGCATACTACGGTTTCATTTAACAATAATGTGTTATATTTTTTAGTTTCATTTTCAACCCACTAATTTTATTATAGTAACACTAAAGTACCATTATAATTATACTATAATTTCATTTATCGATCATGGTCCATACAAACACACGACAATGTGTTGACTATGGTCCACTGTATAACATCTGGCAAATTATGCCCTAGACCCGTGTCCACAGTGAATTGTGGACGCGGGTCCAAAACGACGTCGTTTTTTTTTAAAAAAACGCGTCATTTAGTTAAAAAAAAAAAAAAATCACGCGCGTTTTGCCGTTAACGACGTTATTTTTTTTTGGATTATGAATGTACAGTTATGCCGTTATGAATGTACAGTTATGCCGTTATGAATATACAGTTATGCAATTATGAAATTATGAACACAGAGCTCTAACATTATGAACATATATAGTGATAAAATTATGACCATGGAGCTTTAAAATTGTGAATATAGAGCTTCGAAGATTATGAATGTACAGTTATGGAGTTATGAATCTACAGTTATGGAGTTATGAATCTACAGTTATGAGATTATGAATCTACAGTTATTGAATTATGAATGTACAGTTATTGATCGAATTATGAACAAAGAGCTCTAACATTATGAACTTACAATTATGAACATAGAGCTCTAAAATTGTGAACATAGAGCTTCGAAAATTATGAATGTACAATTATAGAGTTATGAATGTACAGTTATGGAGTTATGAATGTACAGTTATAGAGTTATGAACGTACAGTTATGGAATTATGAATGTACAATTATTAATAATATAGTAATAAAATTATGAACATGTACTCCTATAACAAAGCGGTCTGAAATTTTTTTTTTTAAAAAAAAAAAAAAAAAAAGATGGAGATAATAGTGCCTAACAGCACTGTTACTCGTGTCCAGCATGCTTGCTGGACACGGGTCCAACGCATAACGATTGATAACATCTAGGAGTATTTCTTTCAATCGTTATATCCTACACCACGGCGCACATAGCACTGTGCGCCGCGCGCCTCCCAAAACGACGTCGTTTTGGGGTCGTGTTGGGAGGCGCGGTAGGAAGTTGCTGAGATTATGTGTATTCGTTCACAACGTTATGTGTATTGGTTCATACAATTATGTGTATTTTTTATACAATTATGTACATTGTTTTTATACAATTATGTACATCCGAATCAGAAAATTTGTGTGTATTATGTTAAGAGTTGATGTGTATTATGTTAAAAGTTTATGTTTATTATGTATTATGTTAGATTATGTGTATTATCTTTTAAAAAGAGTATGTATATTTTGTTATAACATTATGTGTATTCATGTATAACATTATGTGTATTCAAGTATAACATTATGTACATTCTTGAACAACGGGTTTTTTTTAAAGAAAAGCCTACTGCCATTCACTGGGGCGGGAAATTTCAAAAAAAAAAAATAATTAAAACGACGTCGTTTTGCATCTAGGCGCATAGTGCAATGTATGCCGTGGTGTAGGATATAAATTGCCTATTTCTTTTGAGCTTAGGTTGTAACCCATATGTCTTCAAAAAAAAAAAAGTTGTAACCCATATTATGTGTCTTGGAACAATGGCCCATTAGAGGGCGGAACCTATATTGGGCTTGGACTGTAACCCAGTTGTTGCTGAGTGGAACCTCTAATTTGATCGACATTCAAATTTTGGATAAATTATGCTGTGCATCTGTATACACCATGCATGGTGCATACGGATGTAAAAACGACGTTGTTTAATTAAAAATGCGCGTCTCATTTAAAAAGAAACCAATTTTGATTTCCAGCAACAACATTATATTGTGCATAATTTGAACTATATATACAGAATCAATGAATTAAAATTCCAGAATCTATGAACTAAAATTCCAGAATGAATGAACTAAAATTTCAGAATCGATGAACTAAAATTCCAGAATCTATGAACTAAAATTTCAGAATCTATGAACTAAAATTCCATAATCTATGAACACATAATGCTGTTGAGGGGAATCGAAATTGATTTTTTTTTTAAAGTGGGATGCGCGTTTTTAATAAAACGACGTCGTTTTTGCATCCGTATGCACCATGCATGGTGCATACGGATGCACAGCATAACGATCACAAATTTTGTACCTTGTATTGTGGATCCTAGTTCAAAACAATATTCAAGTTGTGTTTGAAGTTAACATATTACCTACGTTTAGTTAATAAATTTTGTGTATATACAATTAACATATTACGTGTCTTCAATTTATTTGTAAAAACATAATTTGAGCAAATTATACAATGAACCAGGATTCACCTTGCATTGTGGACATTAGTCTAAAATGACTTTCAAATTATATCTATGTAGTTAACATATTATGTGCATTTAGTTATTAAATTACTCCATATATGTATGCAGTTAACATATTTGTTTACTACAAACATATAATAGGTTAACTACATATTACGTGTCTGTTAAAATATCATGTGTCTATAGTTAATCTATTATGCGTATATAATTAATAAATTGTGTGCATTCAGTTAATATATTATTCAAAAATGTAATTATGAAAAAATTTTAATTTTGGTCATATAACTATTATAGTATTGTTAATTGCAGCCTGCAACTTTTAAAATTATCAATTTAGTAGCTTAACTATTTAATTTTTACCAGTTATACTAAATTTCTGACCAAATCTCACAAACTTTTAATTCACTTTATTTTGTTTAATCACAAAACCAATATGGTCTTTCTATGTTAATTTCTTGAGCACTATGGTCTTTCAAGAACCAGCCGCCGTCCTCCTCCGGGACAAAAGAACTACAAGCGCCGGCCGCCGGAGCAATAATTATGATATTCTAAGCAAGAACTCGTCCATGCACAACTCAGATGATCAAGTGCATGAAAAATTTCCACAACACACAATAAATTCATGAAAATAAAAAAGCTGAAACTTTTTAACTGGTCATAGAGGTGAAATTTTGGAATAATGACCAGGGATCGAGTCTTACCAGCGGCAGTGTGGGAGCAACCTCTCAAAGTGAGGGGGGCTCCTTGTGCCCAGTTAGCACCGGTCTAGCCTCTATGGTTCATGTTCGGTTGAGTCACCAAATATTTACATCCTCCCAAATACTCTGTCGGGCCGGGGTGTGGGGTTCGGTTGAGTCACCAAATATTTACATCCTCCCAAATACTCTGTCGGGCCGGGGTGTGGGGGGCCTTAGGGTTGGGGTTCAGCCTTTTGGAATAATGAAAATAAAAAAGCTTTTTTAATAAGAAGAATCAATAATAATTACAGGAAAATACATTAAATTAAAACAAAAGACACTTCATATATATTTCAGACATGAGAAGTAGCAGAGACCGTTGTCATAGTGGTGCCCATGTCCAACACACCTTCAAACCCACCTTCCCTAACATACTCAAGGTACCTTGAGAACTCCGGCCGGGCCGTCGCCTTCTTCTTCTTCCGGGAGTCGAAAACGCTGAAAATGGGTAGAATCTTGCTGACTTTCCTCATCTGTTTCGCCTGTGATTTCGCCGGAAAATTATGCAACTCTGATGTCGTCATCACTTTCTTCTTGGCTGAAGAGCCGCCTTTAGCCGCCGCAGCAGGCGGCGGCCAGCTTCTTGTTCTGCTCAACTTGGGCTCGCCGCCGTCATGATCGACGGCGACCACAGCAACATCGTCGGCTAATTGCTTATAGCTGTATGGGCTTTTGCGTTTAGTGAGAGATTTAAACATGGTAACGCAGAATCTGGGTTTCTTCAACAGCTAATTATTAGAATCAATGAGGATGGAAATGGGAAGAGATTGGCAAGTTTTACAATTTTATATACACGGTTTGGTGGCGGTGCTTTGGGAATCTTTCTTTTTGGAGTTGAAACTTTCTTGATTGACCATTTCATCAAGACAACGTACGCCCCGCCGTCGATCGCTTGGCCGGCAGCCGCTTAGATGATCAAAGGTGGTGATAGAGGTTAGCTAATGCTGATGATGGATGTTGTGTCGTATACATATAGATATACTCCGTAAGAATTATACTTCATTCATTTTGTCACTCATTTTAGGATATTAAAAAAAAAATAATAATAAGGGTGAAATAGACCATCGAACTACACAAGATAATTCAATTAGGCAACTGAACTTAAAAAATCAAGGGTCCCTAAACTAACCAATTTCAAACAATTATTCTAATTTGAAGGTTTCCAACAGGTCAACAAGTCATCCTTCCAAATTAATTATTAAAAAAAAAAACTTGTTCCGACCGGAGTCCAGTTTTTTTTTTAATTATTTAATTTAAAAATAATTAATTTTTAAAATTTATTTTTTTAAAAATAATTAATTTGAGAGATGACCTGGTTGAAACCTTCAAATTGGGGGAATTGTTTGGAATTGATTAGTTTATGGACCTAATTGTTGATTTTTTAGGTTCAGTGGCCTAATTGCATTATCGTGTGCAGTTTGATGGCCTATTTGACCCTTATTCCTAAAAAAAATAAAAAATTGTGGACTGAATAAAATTAGCATTGTGATTTTATTTAGTAAAGGATCACAATAAGATAAATCAATCTAGTTGTGATCAATTCAAATTAAAAAGATTAATAAACTATTCTTAAAAAGTCAAATTTATAACCTTTGTATAAATTTAATTAGCATTGTGATTTTATTCAGCCACTTAGTTTGATTGATTTAATTTCGTCCATTTCTCTTTAGTTTTTTTTTTTTGAAGGTCATTTCTCTTTAGTTTGATTAACCTTTGTATGACTTATTAAAATTAGTACACGTACACGCTTCAACGGAGGTTAGAAACTAAGAAACGTATTATGAGTAAGCGAAATTAAAATATAGAGCAAAAAATAAAAGTAAAATGCAAGTGGAAATATTGGTTATTGAAGTACCAACCAAATGTCAGACATAAATTAGTCACACATCACATGTAATATATATGTAAATACAAACAAGTCTAACAACGATAATAGCCATAACTAAAATAGATAGATGGAAACATTTTTATTCATAGTTAAATAGTAAAATCAATACTTTGAGACGACTAAATTTAGAATTGTCACAGAAAACAAGGGTCATCCGTTTAAATTAACTTTTATTTTTAACATTTTTTGTGTTTTTGAATGCGTAAGGGCCTTTTATATATATATATATATATATATATATATATATATATATATATATATATATATATATATATATATATATATATCGATAACCACTTTTAATTTTGAGATCTCTCGAACATTGTGAACGTTCTTCGTAGTTCTCATGATCAATCTTTGCAGTTCTAATGATTATTCCGTTTCTTATTCGATTATTCTTTGGTTTCTATGTGACTATGTGCATATTTGACTTGATTTGTTACTTGTGTTTGTTGATCATTTAATTTTGGTGACTATTTCTCCTTAAATATTTTCCGCAAACCAATGGGTTCTACCTATATTTTTTTATTTTATTTTTTATTTTTTTTAGATTGGCCACCTCTCTCCGTTTTAGATGATTACCATGTGCATTTTTGTTGTCTTCGTTATAAATTTTTAACAAAAAGACATTTTAAGTGGTTATTTTGTGATATAAATATATGTAGAGTTCACTACAAGTTTGAGTCCGATCAAAGTAGGTTCAGGATTCTTCGAAGTGAAACGAAGAAATTGAGATACTATAACTCAAAATGAATAATATCTGAATGAAAAAATAATTTTTTAAGTAGACACATTTGAATAAAAAATATAGAGATGGGAAGGAGTGAAAGAAGCCTTAGATTTGTTGTCCCACATTAAAAACAGAAGACTATTGACTGAGAAATATTTTCTTGTAAGTATTGCCTTTAAGAACGAGTAAGCTACACATGTAATATATAGTTTGGTAAAAAATTGATTAAGTCAATTTTGGCTTATTTGACCACTATTAATTACTTGATTTAGTTAAAATATCAATATAAATGTTTGATTAATTAGCTTTTTGCAACTCCAAAAGGCTAAAATTCAAAAAGCTACTCCAAACAACTTTTTTAATTAACTTTTTGAGAAAAGAAATTATACCAAACAACTATCCGTTAACAGCTAATTTACCAAACACTTTTTTTACAATCAGCTAATGTTATCAACTATTTATACCTTCTAATTAACACAATCAGCTAACAGCTAACAACTATTAGCTAACAACCATTTTACCAAACAGGACAAATGTAAATTATCATATAATCTTTAAGGTGGTTAGAAATGGTGGACGAATATATAATAATGCAAATTCAAGGAGTTTGAGTATTCTTGAATTAGTATTTAAAAATTCTTTCCAGTTTGTCTTTCATTATCATTTTCTCACTAATTTATTACACGATATTAGTAGCTTGTTTAAAGGTGCATTTGTCAAAGATAGATGTGGTAAAATTGAACAAGCAAGATAATAAATCACTATAAAATTAACACAAAAATTTGTATGACGCCACATGTAGTCTGTGGAAGCAACCTGTGGCGTTGACCAATTAAACTGTTGAGCATATATATAATATATAAAGTAATTGTGCAATTCAACTATGTGTGTTCAGCCAACTTAATGTCAAACGCCATGGATTTGAATTGACTATGATCCACGTATTGTTTGGATCCAATTAAAAAATAATCAGTCTGCATAGAGGGCGTATGTCAAACATCTATTAACTTAAGCTTGGTCATCAACCCATAAGACATATACACATGTTATATATTTTCTTATTTAATTTAAAATTTGATTTAAATACAAAATTTGTACTCGTATGCATCGAATTTCACAACACAAGACACATAAATTTATAACATTAAGACATACACAACTACTAATTTATGTCGAGCACAGAATTCATACTCTTAAAAAGGTACAAAATTTCATAACAAAAGACACAAAAACTCATTACATAAAACGCATACACATGCACCAATGACGAGGTATAAAATTCATACTTCTAAGGTACATATTTTCATAACACAAGACACAAGTCTGATTTAAGTACAAAATTTGTGTTCATAGGCATAGTTTTGCACAGCATAAAGACACAAAAATTCATAACATAGAACACAATTACTAATTTGTTTCAGATACATAATTCATACTCTTTAAGGTACAAAATTTCATAACACAAGACACAAAATTTCACAACATAAAATACATACACATGATCTATGGTATATATATGGATTAAATATATTGCTTTAGGCTGAATACTCAAATTTGTTGCTTGGCTCACCTAACCGGAGGTTGAGCACGTGTGTATCCTCCCAGGTTAACAAACAGTGGAACCAGCCCCGTCCTGAGCAACATTCTATAAAGATAGACGTGCTCCTACTATACACTTTCACCTCAAAACATTAATCACCTTATAAAAATTTCTTCCCTTTAATTTGTCTTTTTCACGTGCCTAAAAATGGTGGGCGGTAATCATACTCCTGCTTCTCCGGCACCGACCGTTTGCGTCACCGGAGCTGCTGGATTTGTCGGCTCTTGGCTCGTCATGAAGCTCCTCCAACGAGGCTACATTGTCCACGCCACTGTTCGAGATCCTGGTACATTTATAAAATATTCTAGCTAAGCTACTAGTTATTATTGACTATATATTAGACAAGTATAAAAAGAAAAAGTTACACAGCTTTTATTGACTATAACTTTTGACGTAGTGGTAAGGATTTGGTTCTGAAAATCTGTAGCTATGCAATTGAGGTTGACGGGTGCTGGGCAGGAGTTGTTGGGGACGGCTCAAAAGAGTCGAGTCCAGCCTCCTGCTAGCATCAAAACTAATAAAGTTATGTCTATGTTATTAGTTATAGCTTTTAGCATAGTGGTAAGCATTTGATACTGACATGTAGGGAACGCACAAAAGGTGAAACACCTGCTAGAACTGCCGAAAGCCGAGGGGAAGTTGAAAGTGTGGAAGGGGGTGTTGGAGGAAGAAGGAAGTTTTGATGAAGCCATTGCAGGGTGTGAAGGGGTGTTTCATGTCGCCGCTGCTGTGAATTTCGCCTCCAAGGACCCTGAGGTAATTAATGAATTGAAGTCCATTGCCATCATCCCATGCATGCATGCAAATAGCCAAATAGTATATAAATATTGTCTTTTTTTTTTTTTTTTGTTAATTGGAGTTAATAATATGTATGTATATATATATGGTAGAATGAAGTAATAAAACCAGCAGTTAAGGGGATCCTGAGCATCATAAACTCTTGTGCGAAAGCCAAAACCGTGAAGAAGCTGGTTTTCACTTCCTCTACTGCAGCTGTCCACATTAAGGAAACCCAACAACTGGAGTACGATGAGAGCAGCTGGAGCGACCTGGATTTCATATACGCCAATAAAATGGGAGGATGGGTTAGTTTTTTTGCTCTTCTATTTATTTATTTATTTATTTTTTAAATTTAGTAAACCCGTCTCCTGATCCTAGCTGGCAAAAGATCAAAAGTAGGTAAATTAATTCAGGTTGCTTAAATCTGATTAGTTCAAACCATAAAACCATTAGACCTGTTAGGAATTTGAACTTGTAATTTTGTAGTTAGTAGACGAAATTCTCTCACTCCCAGAGCCCTACATGATAGGGGAGGGGTAAATAATCATTGTGACTCATCAACTCATTAGGTCAGACGGGTGTCTGAAGGGTGCAACTCCCACATTATATATAGCTGTTAGTTTATCCACAATCTAACACATAAGAACCAACTGAGCTATATCCAGGCGGTAGTTGTCAGAACTCAGTTCTGTGTTCTTAT